TACTTCCTCGACATTTACTTACTCAACTGTCAGTGAGGTTATATACAGTGGGGAAACTAAATGATGGAAAGATGTCAGTGTCGCCTTTTTTCCAACCCCTTTACTTTAACAAGATCAAATTTTTTCGTTGATTAACCAAGTAAGCAATGAAAAGCAATACTACAAGCACAACGGCAGCAGACATCAACGGGTCAGCGCAGGCAATGCAAACTAATAATTTGACTGGACTTCATACAATGATGGTGATAATGATGAGAAGGAGCAGTAGGAGGATTAGGAGCAGGAGAAAACGTGACTGGCTGCTCTGCATCGTGAACAATAGTGTCACTTGCTTTACTACCTTTATACTGGTTGCCCGCAGATCTGGCCTTAATGCAAATGTGCTTCTGGCTCTAAGGGGGATTAATACTGTACGGGGTAGGTGCAATTCAAAGTGCGACCTCGCAGTGCGTAAAAGGCAGAAAGTGTGGCTCAGAAAAGATGGCAAATTTACCTTTTCCTCCTAGCCATTTCCTAGTCCACATAAGGCATCAGTAATGAAACCATCCCACTATGTCTTGCCTCAGGCCCACATTTCTGCTCAAAGCTGCCCCACTGCGTAGTCACTAGTATTTCAATATCACATTTTCATCCTCGTAAAACCATGCGTCGTGACCGCACACACGACGTGTTGATTGTGCATCCATTGGTCTGCCAGGAATAGGCGTTCTACGCAATAGGATGAATATTTAGCTTTAAATATTATTTGATACACCAGTGTGGACCGGAAACGAAAAACTCCCCTTGGTAGGTGTATGGACAGCTGTCTTTAAAATAAGCACGTCATTCAATCAGATGTGCCGCTGTTGAGAGGTTGAGCACCAAGTCCATCATCGGAGAGCATCGTACGGTTTCACAAGTTCGTCGTGGATACGAATTCACTATACTCTAACTCTTGATCCTGCAACTGCATGCTGACTTGTGATGCAGTCCTGCTTTTAGCAGAGGTATGACTGAATACATGTGAAGCAGGTTTTGGCACTGGAAGGACTGAAGTAGGGTAATCTCCCTGTAAGTACCAATGATTGGGATAGATTTGCCACTGTTAACCATGGACTAGCAGGACTGTTCTTAACATATCTGTTTTTGGCTTTATCTAATGAGTATGACTGAGGACAAGCGGTTTGAAGCGTATGTGCCAAGTGAACTTTGTGACTATGAAGGTAATGTAGGCGGGTGTAAGACAGAGCTTTTACACAGCAACAATTGTAGTCGACTACCAGTCAAGTGTTAATTAAGATCGCCCAGATGGTTGCTGCTACTCTTAACCGCCGTTGACCCCGTTCACTCATCTAAGTGAGTGTTCTCGGAAAAACATGAATGTGCCTTCATAACTCTTTTTGGTGGGAGAGCAAGCGTCTGGTTATAAACAAACGGAATATCCGATTTTATGCAGAGAATGTTTAACTCTCTGTTTTCTATACTTTTATCTGTATGCATATTTCCCCTATCTCTCCTGGAAAAGAAGGGGGATAACCTAATAAAGTGCGTTATTTGAGGTAACAAAGCAAGCTTTTCTGTCGAGAAAACACGGATCCCCTTGGAATGCTTTTAATCACTCAAAAAATGCCTCAATAGTGCCTGTTGGTTTCAACCTCTTAAGAAAGTTTTGAATCGGGTACAGGCCGAAGCAATTTAGCGTGGTCAGACCGGGCGTATACAGAGGAGGCCGCAGTGAATCAAAGCAAACCCGTTAAATTTTTCATGCATAAATAATGAATTTACTGCTTCAACTCATGTCTAAGTAAGATCAGTTTAAATTACTTGGATTTTAGTTTGATATGGTTATCACCGAAGGGCAAAAATTTTAGCGAAACCCATAGATGAATTGATTGATGGCAACGATGGTTTTGAGATTATGTCTGCATTTGTAGGGAGAAAAATATACCAATTAAAACTATGTCGAAGTCGACTCAACACAAGTGAAATAAACACCCTAAATATTCACATTGATTGACGTTATATTTGACTCACCTAACAACGTGTCCGGCTAGCCTTATTAACCTCCCCAGCACTACTTTTGCCCATGCAAGTTGCACAGCATTCAAATCGCTTCATCAAAGGCGTGGCTTTCGGAAATAACAACTCAAGCACGTGATTGAGACTATATTTTAAACTTGGTCGAAAAACCGGTTAAGCGAGCTGAACTACAGAATTACCTGAAGGACTCAATGCTATACATAGAGGTCGGTGTTTTTTCAGCCAAGAATTTCGTTTCGTCACCGCATTTAAGACATTTTATCAATTTGTCCCTCGACGATGCTTTCTATTTGGACACGGATCCAAAAATGAGGTGTCATCAATAACGAAAACATCATATATGAAACTAGGAGAAAATAGAGGGGAGTCAAAAGAGGATGATGAGGGGGAGGAAGATAAAGGGCTCTCATTTTCTACCGACTTGTTAGGTCTTAGTGAGGATGAAGCCATGATGTAGTCTGAAGCAATTTGCTCATCTCGATCTGCGTTAATTCCAATTATGGTGGAGATTTTGCAAGCAAACAGGAGGGGCTCTCTATCGAAATCGACTAGATACAAGAAGGTGAATTTGCATTAGTTGCACGCAGACAGCACCTGCAAGTTCGGTTGTGGTGGTCGGCCACCGGCTGTTGAGCTATCACGCTCAGAAGAATTCTCTACTCTGGAAAATTGCTAATTGTCTTTTCTTACTAATCAGGAAAATTTAATTCTAATCAATCAGTAAGAACAGTCAACCTTTTGTGCTTACAGTGGAGGTGTAGGAAACGGCCTATGAATTGATCAAATGTGGGGGAGTAGAGCTGGTAATAGATAATATGCTTTAAAGGCACGATATGCATTTCCGAGTGTGTTATTAATGACTGCTCAATAAACTGTCAGAACTGTGAGTAAAATGAAACTTGTAAAGCCATTGTTATCATATTAGGCAAAATTGAATCTCACATTGATAAATCTAATGAGAAATTGACTTCTTTAAGTGGATGTCAGTATAACTGCTTCTATTTCCTAGATCTTGAACACTTTGCCTCGTCCAGATTTGGCCTGACCTGCCTATGATACCTCCACAATATGGCTTTATTTTGAGTAACATTTTCTGTACCCTATTCACTGTCCCATCCACATCCATAAAGCCAAGTGGTTTTAGAAAATCGGGAAATGCTGCCGGAAACGCGCAGTTTGGCAAAGTGGATCTGTTATGAAGCATGAAGAGCCGGTATTGTCATGTAAATTCCCAATAAAAAGATTTCTTGTTTCATGGAGTAGCAATGAGCTTGCAACTCAGCATTCAACAAGACATGGAGAATAGGGCGAAATTAGGGCTGCATTGCCACATTGAAGGGTCCAATTTCAATGCAAATCAACTTAAAGAAATCCTCGATAACTGCCGAAGTCTACTGTCGACGCTGCAAATTGAAAGCGTGGCTAATTTTTTCTGTCTTCACATAGAATTTTGCTCCACTCTTTTGGCTTTTATCAGTCTCACTCAAGTGCTTTTAGAGCCTGGTGGTTTCTTAAGCTAGCACAGGTTTAATCCGCCAATAAAATGGACATGAATTCTCAAAATCGTTAAAATCTGTGGCAAGACGTATGCCATGACTGTTCATCGACACAGACTTCTGCGCAGCCTGCATATTTTTGAAAGACAACT